TCATAATCTGTACGATACATATAGGCAACACTTGTAAATAATAATGATAATAATAATCCAAAAATGAAACTAACTCAATCAAGCTTTAACAACAAACATAAGAATCATACTGATCCATAATTAAATTCCAATAAACTACAACAACATTAAAATTTTTCACTAATTCCTACAACTTTATCCCACCATTCATTCTTCACCACATTGAAATCATTTAAAAGTGTTAATGAGCAATAAAAAAAAAATTCCACTCAATTCTACTTGGTAAGACAGTCTAAACAGACATAAAGGTTATAGAAATGTTTAAGTTCCAAAAACGTTTTTAGGCAGACTGTTTAACAACAGTTCTTTTTTTCGATCCTACTCAGGACAACTGTCCAGAACAGAAGAGAATCTGTGAAAACTAATTGTTTTCAACTAAAACAATGACTCATCGATAGATAAGCAAAAGAACAAATTTATTTGCATCGCCATCTCCCTCTACAGGTTCTTAAAAATCCGTATCTTCAGTTAATTGCATGACATTAGTCTACAGAAAAGGAAATATTATCAGCAACAATTTTTGCAAATCTGTTCGACATTGCACAATAAAGCCAAACTGCAAATTTTGTTCCGATTCTTTTTATTGTAACTCTTCATTTTCCATCAAATTAAGTGCACAAACTATAGTCTTCATCCTCTAGCTTTTATTATAGAGCGTTGATTAGAACAGTCATCTCTTCAATAAGATCTTCAATAAGATGAATATTTCTACAGTTAAAACAGATAACAGCCAAGGTTAACAAGAAATATATTATCTACCAAAATGTAACCACAAAATTCCTAAAGTTTTCTTCCTCAACCAAAATAAATAAAAACACAGTATATAAAATATATATTTCTAATATATAATATTTCTGGCAATAGCACCCAAAAATTTTCTTTCAATTCCTTTTTTCTGGAAAGTATATTTGTTGGGTAGAGCACCAGCAGCAGTAGCAACAACAACAGCGATAGCAGGTATTGGCAGCATCAGCACCACCAGCAGCTCCACCATCAACAAAAAGGGGACCAGAAGTGCTGTTTTTTAAGTCTCTTATACACTTCTCCTCCTCCAGCAGCGACACACCAACAATTGAAACATTTTCTGCCTTTGCACTTTTCGTTTGCTCATTTTCGTTGATCCATTCACTCAGTCATTCAGCCAGTTAGTCAGTTAGTCAGTCAGTCAGTCAGTCAGTCAGT